GGTTGATTCACTTGCTACTGCATTCGCTTCTGGGAATGGAGTGGAGCCAGTAGGACAGGATTCATAATTCCTCATTAAAAACTCATTATTTTGCCCAGCCATAAGCAAGCAAGAAATTAATTCAAAATATTTTTTGAAACCTTTCTCACGGTATTACTGCTGCAAGAGCACATTGGATGCATAAAATGTGGAGAATATTTTTTCTAACATATCTTTATCAGTAATCTTTTCTCCATATAATTTCAGTCGAGAACTGATTCTAAACATTGTAGAATTATATTCGATCACAGATTTAAAGTCTTGTAAACGTAAATACATCCAGTCATAACGAGCTTTAGGAAGGATTACAGTTTTCTGGTGGTCATACCTCTCCTTTAAATTGTTCCAAAGAACAAGTGGATCTTTTATTGTCAAATATTCAATCTTGAGCCTATCATGCAAATGGTGACGTAAAAAGATCATGGCTTTGGCTTTATCTTGGTTTGATGCTTGGTTGCCTTCCATGATTGTGTCTCCTAGACCATTGGCATTTAGATGGATTTTTGCATCTAATATCCAGGATAAATAATTCTTTCCAGTAATGTCAAGAGCCACAAACTCAAGTTTTGTGAGATTTGACATGATGATACTATCATATAAAAGTTAAATGAAAATTAATATTAAGGGAATGGAACCAAAATGAAACCACAAAAGTAGGAAGATGAAGACAAGAGAATGAGAGAACTTTTTGTATTTCTTCACTTGCACTACAACACAAATGACATGTCTTATTTATAGGTATAGTCTTACACATAGATTACAATTATCCTTAAATGACAAATAGTGGATAATCAATCCTATGAATGTGAATTGAGGTGAGTTACAAGAGTGAATGGATAGTGGAGGAGTAATGGATGGTGGAGGTAGTGGAAGTTCCTTGGAGAAGATGAAGAGGAAGGGACAAATGGAATGGTTATGAAACAAATCAATATGAATAAGAGAATGGAAATATGGAATAGTTATGAAACAAATCAATACGAAAGTAATATAGAAATTTACCTTGCGGTTGATTAGTCTTACTACAACACCTTCTGATTACAAGAGTGCTTCGTGCTGATAACGTCTTATGAAATGAAACCAAAATGAAACCACAAAAGTAGAAAGATGAAGATAAGAGAATGAGAGAACTTTTTGTATTTTTTCACTTGCACTACAACACAAATGACATGCCCTATTTATAGGCATAGTCTTACACATAGATTACAATTGTCCTTAAATGACAAATAGTGGATAATCAATCTCATGAATGTGAATGGAGGTGAGTTACAAGAGTGAATGGGTAGTGGAGGAGTAATGGATGGTGGAGGTAGTGGAAGTTACTTGGAGAAGATGAAGAGGAAGAAGTAAATAGACATCCACATAATATTCATAGCATTTTTAAAGTTTTAAAGTAATTATTCAACAAAGACTGTGTCAATTAATGTCCGCTTATAAAGATTTAAATAAATTAAGTGTACCAATAATAATTAGTCAATACATATCCGTTGCATTTCTTTTGTTTTCTCTCTTATGTTTTTTTTAAAAAAATAAAGACAATTTATTCCACTGGATAAAACGAGTACAAGTTTAAAAAGACCAGCCGGTTAAAATTAGAGAATGTAAGCAAAGCTCAAATGTACCAAATTGATAGGTCAGCCCAGAACTACAAGAACAGAAAAGTGGACATAAAACACAATCTATAGAAGTATACTTAAGAAAAAATAGAGTTTTCCAAATTGTATTTAAAAAGTATATAATTTTGAATAATTTTTTTCATCAACTAAGCTTAAATTGTTTTACTCTCCTATCCTATAGTTTGGCTCCTGAATTTTCAAAATAAAAGCAGGCACATTAAGAAGTACAAGAAAATTATACTCTCTCTAATTCAAAATATAACCTTCAAATCTTTAAACAGCTTTAATTTGGATATGTTTGATCATTTAATGTATTTTTAAATTTTTACCCTTGATTAATTGTATCTCTCTCATCTATGTTTTCATTCATCATCTTTCTCAATCGTCATAAATATAATTTAGGAAAATAAGTTGTACAATTTATATATTTACTATTTTCAATTAATTTTAACAAATTTTTTAAACTGCGTAATTTTGTTATTTAAAACTTACATGAAAAGGAATAGCAGTAGCATTTGTTTCTTCTTCTCTTTTCGGTGAGGGTAGTTTCTTTTTCCTATTGACATGGAAAAAATCTATAAAAATATTGGCGTTCCTAGATATTCACCCATCTCACCTAAATAATGTTGGTCACGAAAGTTCAAGTTTTGTCACAAGAAAAGAATATTGTCTACTTCAATGGGTCTCACATGGTCTCGTCATGATCTTATAGATGTCGACATGTTCTAAATTATTGTGAGCCGCAAGCAATGCAAAGGATTTTCCAACACTCAAGTCAACACGTATCATTTGGCCTAGCCTTAAAAGGGCATTTGTCTTTTTGATATCCTCTGACCAATCTTAGCTCGAGTTATTAATATCAATATAAAATCAAAATAATTAATTTAGAGAAATTAAAGAGATTAGCTAAATTGGTGCAATAGATATGTATGTATTGAGTTTTTTAAATTATCTTTTTTAATTATGTGCATTAGAAATAGCTCTTGGTATATTATAATTTTAAGAAATAAAGTGGATTGAAATTTTATATTTAGGACTAAATTTAATTTTCACCTAAATCTTATTTTAAGTAGATGAGATAGCACATTTGTATTTTACGAAGAACAATATAAGGCAGATGTTGTATGGAAATTGTATGATTAAGAGTTATTCCTCTGGTCTTATTTATAGGGTAGAGAGAAAATGTTTGTTGGTTCTATGTATACAGCACCAAGAAAATTTTTTATATAGATATACAATTTTACCTTTCATTTATTATTGTGTTAATTTTATTTACATGAGGTATAATGTTCATTAAATAAGGATAAAGTTAAAAAATTGTTGAGTTTTAAATGAGAGTTAATAAAATTTAAGATTTTTTTGTTTGTATAAAATATATTAGAAGTGATTTATAAATAAAAACTAATCAATGGGTTCATGAGTTAGTGACGCGTGGGAAGATTATTGCGGCGTCTCCTCGTCAGCATCATTCATATGTGATTTCTTGAGTTGAGATTCAAAATCATGGACAAGCAATTACTTGTGCATGTAAATCTACAGTAAATCACCCTTCCACCCTTTGCTTTTGACTTCTTTAAACTTGTCGTGCATGCAGCAAGTTTCATCTATCCATCCATCTGAATTTATAAATCTTATAGAAGATTGCATTATTAATAGGTCATGAATGGTAGGATTCGCCAAAAATACAAGCTTAAAAGTCAATTGTAGATAGTTCATAATTAATGAATAATATATATTAACTTTGTATGCTTTTAGTATGTTATATTGATGGATTAATTAATTTTCTTCGTATACTACCTCCTGTCCTAATTATAAGAACTAGTGAACTAATTTAAGAAGATTAAAGAAAGAAGTTAAGTTAGTTATTTGTAATAAACATGTGTTGTCTTTCCTAAAATATCCTTACTAATTAAGCGTATTGGCTATAACTACTATTATTAGGAGGACTGTTTTGAAAAAAATACATAAATATAAGAGACAAAGTGGATTTGGGTCTTATATTTATGATCAAAATAAATGTCAAACAAGGTTTTATATTAAGAATCGGAGGTAATAGTATAGTTGTTTTATTTACCGTTTTGGAATTGAATTTTTTTTTTCTATATACATATATTTCTTTCAGGCAAGATGATGATCTCTTGCTGGATAAGTAATACTTCTGTTTGTATATAGCTGAAGGTGTTTTCAAGAAATGTCTCCAACATTCTGTTTTCTTCATTTCATGGCACTCAAGATTCATTTTGCAAATTTTTATGGTATCTTTCACTTCCTTACAAGCAACTCCTTTTGAAATGAAAATTGTTATAATTGTCTTCCAACCGCAACCATGTGTGGCAAGACATGACGCTTTTAGCTTCCACTAACTTAAAAATTGATGTTGTTACTGGATATATTTCTTCTTATTTTTATGATTTATTTTTATCCAATGATCCATAATCTATCTTCTCCTTCTTCTTTTTTTTTTTTTTTTATAAGGATCAAAATTCATTAAAATATTAAAGATAACAAGATCAGGTCACAGTACCTAAAAATAACGGACAAGAATTAAGTAATATAAGATCTTTTAACTCTATCCTACGTACTAATTTAACATGAAAGAAAGGGGGAAAAAAAAACGTAAGAGAGGAAGAAATATCTTGATGCAAAATGTTAGCCCAAAGCTTGTTGGCAGTTGGCACCATATCTTAGAATGAATTGTTTTTTTTTTTTTTGAGTGAAAAACTGGATAACATTACTTACAACAGAAAAAAATTCCATCATAACTTCTTCATCGCTTTCTACCTCTCGACACAGAGGTGAAGCTTGATCAAAGATACAAAAAAATGTTGTTAGCAGTTTGAGCATATCTAGCTAAGAAGTCCGCAGTTCGGTAAACCTGTACTACCCAATTCCCATAAATCAAAAGCCAAGAAATTGCTTCTTGACACAGTAAACTTGCAAGCGTTGCAATCCTGCATTACAGAAGAAAGGAGAGATTCATAATCTACTTAAACAGGGGATATGCAGGACTGGCGTTCCCAAGAATCATTGAAAAATATGTTTGGGTTAAGACATGAGGGAGTAAATTAATTTTTAAAGGCTAAATAAAAGTTTTTTTTTTTCATATTTTAATTTTAAGAGAAGCCTGCAATTTTTCCTTTTTTTTTTTTTTTTAAATTACACTCAACATGCCTTCATGTACCATCAGCCTGTCCAGACAAATCCGCCAATAAAATCGTTGTGGACAGAAAATTGGCGCAGACAAGGCGGTCAAAACTCAGAATATATATTTTATAAAAATGGAAATTAAATTCACTGGTTCGTTACACTTCGCGAGGAATCGAGGCTGACAGCTACTACCACGGCGAATGCCAACTTCTCATCGTCCTCGCCGGTGCCGTCCTGAACCTAAACGACCATTTGATGTCCTGTCTTGTTCTTATCCATTCCCAAAGCTGATTCTCTTTGTCTCTCTCTCACGTCCAAATGTCAATATTTTATTGATTTTCAAACTTGGAAGCAATTAATAAGCTATGTCATATATTCCCTCCCAAATTTCCAAATCCTGCTGAGGCGCTCAAACAGAGGCTGTTCTGTTATCTTCCATACATTCTGAGTTTTTTGTCATTCTGTTGCTTGCTCCAGCCTCCAGCGATGGCCCCGTCGGCGGCGACCTTGATCGAACGCCGTCGAGTGATTTCGACGAACGGTGGTGGGAAAGCTCTGGTAGATGTGGATTCGGGAGAGCTGAGGGGAGAAAATGGCTGCGACAGTTCAGGTGAGAAGCGCGTGGGAGTCGCCGGGAGAAATGGCCCTCGGCCTCAGCCTGCTCGGCAATCGTCCTATAAAGAAAATATTGGTCACATAGCTGCCGAGACGTATTTGATTACTCGGCTTGCTTTCACGCTTCTTCAATGTTTGGGGTACGTTTGCTTGATTTTTTGCTGCAAGTAGAATGTTTGTGTTTGAAATTGTGAATTGTCTATGTTTTGATTGTGTTCATGGTTTGGAAATAGCATTGGATTGAGCTGGAAAATCCATGTTCGAAGACGTAATTGGAAAAAGAAGAAAACGATAGTTCTTTAGGCGAACTTAAACTCCAGAAGCTTTGGGGAAAAAAAACTACGGCAGCGACAGTTGAAATAGTAATGGGAGTGTTTTGGTATTGGTAGTGGAAGAAGGTTCGGGTTGATAATAGCAATCGAAACGGGAAATTGTGCTATGATGGATGGTTACGGATGGAAATATTAGTGGCAAAAGCGGCAAATGGATGGTTACGAAGTTTAAAGTAGCATAAAAAACATTGGAATGTTTCGTATATGCAGCATAAATAATTATGTGCTATGTTGTGGGACCTTTTTCTTGTATTTTCAATTGAACGCAGCAGAAGCAAATCTGAGTTTTCCCCCTCTTCTCGATGAACATGAATTTACGAACTTACCAAATCATAGCACCTAATTTGTTGATATCAAAAATTGTTTTTGGAAGATCAAAACAGAGTTCTCCTGCTACAGTAGATTTTGATATGGTCAGAGTTACCTCAATGTAATATTGTAACTCAGTAAAATGCAATCGGAGGATGTTGATGAGGAAAATTGAGGTTTAATAAGTTTACGAATCGATATCCTATGGTTTTATTTTATTCTATTTTTGTTTTAAACTTTTGATTTTTCCATAATGTTGTTGTTATTATTGTTTTAGTTAGTCTACACTGATCTTCAGCATTTCACATTACTTCTGAGAATGTTTTCAGCAATTTACTGCAGTTGAAATTTATCTTGACGTGCTAATTGTGTTAGCTCATTCATAAAAAAATTTCCATGAAACTATAACCTTCAAGATTCCTCTGTTGTGACATAGATTTCGTCATGCTGGTAACTTGTGCTCATCTGATTTACTATTGATACTTTTATAGGATAGGTTATCGCTGGATTACTCAATTGCTTGCCCTTGGATGCTATGCCATGCTTCTTATGCCTGGTTTTCTACAAGGTATGTATTATGTTATTTTTGTGCGGCTTTTATGTACTTTGTGAGTGTCGATGTCGATGTTTTGTGTTATTCCTTTTCTTCTTTTCCTCTTGTTACCTTGTCTGTAAAGTATAATAGATTTGAAAGAAAATGAAAGACTAGGCTGTCTCCTGAAATAAAAGGAGCAGGGTGGACCTGTGTCCATTACTTACACTACATAAGCTCTATGATCTTTCTTCTGGTACCGAGGACTTATTGGTGGTGTCAAAATTTCCTTCCTTTACACAGTTGATTCAAATTCACCCTAAGTTAGAAGTTGCCTACCTGCAATGCAGGGGAACATATTTTTATATGCCCTCATTCTGAGGATAAAGAAAATCACCAGTTCGTGCCTAGTAGCTCAACAGCAACCATCTATTTCTAATTACACACACACACACATATATCGGTAATGTGCTATAGCTTGTAGCTCAATGCTGCGGCTCTCGGCATAATGTCATGTGAAGCCGGCAATATAAATAGCTGGAGCCTGTGTTACACTGATAAGCATAGAGATCTTTTAGAAAGTCCTCAATCAGATGAGTTTAGTTTCTGGTCTTATATACCGTGTCATCATAAAAGACTGATCTATTATGTGATCTAAGCACACTGTTTGTGCGAAATTTCTCTATCATCCTTTATGTTGGCCTTCTTGATGTGTTGTTTTCCTATATTATATGTTGTGACCTCTCCTATCTTTCAAATTCATTATGACTGAAAAAAATGGTCTATTATATGGTTTTAGGTACTCACATTGCATCAATAGGATGTAAGACTTATTTTCTTGACTATCTTTGCAGTTGGATATTTTTATTATTTCTCAAAGCGGGTAAAACGAAGTGTTATTTATGGAAGTATGCCAAGGAATAGGTAAGTTTAGTAAAAATATGGTAACTTTTCAGAAAAGTTCATTTATATACCGTGATGTTAATTATTTTATTTATTGAGTGCTTAGTATTCTAGTTTCACGTTGTACGCTTGCAGGATGGATCTGTATTTACCTGCTGATATTCGTGAACCCAAACCAGTTTTGATATTTGTAACTGGAGGAGCATGGATTATTGGGTGAGTGACTTGAGATATCTTCATGATGTTCCTTCAATTGAGTTGTTGGTTTACTTCACACTGTTAATTTTTACCCAAAAATTGAGGTATCTGCTGGAGCAGGGTCTATCCATGCTTAAGCATTTCTGTCAAAGTAGCATACTGCTGCCCAATCTAGAGAGAAGCTATACTCGACTCTGTGATATAGTTTAATGTTTGGACAACAGATTTGAAGAGTTGCTTTTATGATGACTAATCCAAAGTTTTAGAATGCTGAAGCTTGAATCACAACAAATTTGTATGTTATAGAAAGCTGGAAACCTGTTCCATCGTCAGGTCTTGTCACTTATAAATGCTATGTACCTTTTGAAGTGGCAGACATTGTTGTCTCTGTTTTAACCGAATATCTGAATACTTGCATTGACTATGAGCATGTGTACAAATATAATAGGGGCGCGCGTGCGCGCACACACATTTGACAGCCTAATCTAACTTGTCATTTTTTTTGCTTCTTTATGAGGGAGCATACTGGGTAGTTTTGAAGTTGAATTTAAAAACAGATGCTGATTAGTATTTTTAATAAGGGTTTATATATAATTAGCTTTTAAAAATTAAGTTTCTTGATTTTCATTTTGATTTAGGTATAAAGCATGGGGTTCCCTGTTGGGATTACAGTTGGCAGAAAGAAACATCATGGTGGCAAGCATTGATTACAGGCAAGTGGGCTCTTCAACTTAATGCCGTGCAAGAATGACACTTCATGTACTGATAATCGGACTTCACATGTTTTCTTCTGATAAAATATTGCAATAGTTTGTAGTCCATTTTTAGGGCATTGTAATTCAGGGCTTCAGGCTATTCATACCCAGAGGGATGTTTGCCTCATGCTATGATTTTTCTTTTTTCATTTTACATTTTAAAATTGAAAACTAAACTAGAGCAATGTGGCAAGGTTTTAGACCTATTCCTGTTGCATGGTGTAGATCTACAATTTGTACGGGATTTATTCGTTTGTTTGTGATTTAAATGGGATAAGTGCAGCATCTCATTTTCTAAGAGAAATATATCCATACTCGATATGTTTAACAATTTAAGTATAGCTTATAAAATAATAACTTAGTTTGCAGGGTAATTAATCTTGTCTTAGTTAACCCTGTGGCTTCAAGGGTGATGTTAACATAGTTATGAGATTTAAGTTGCGAAGTCTGTGGTATATTTTGCACTGAATAGATTTTTTATGAATTTGTGAATGCAGAAACTTTCCTCAGGGAACCATCAGTGATATGGTAAAAGATGTCTCGCAAGGAATTTCATGCGTTGTTAACACTATAACTGATTATGGAGGTGACCCTAATAGGTAACAGGCTACTATGCCTTATTCCACTGCATCACTTCGTATTCAAGTACAAGATTGATTTTTTTCAATTGATACATTTTTCATAGGATTTATCTGATGGGGCAATCTGCTGGTGCTCATATTTCTGCTTGTGCTTTAATGGACCAAGCACTTCGAGAATCTGGAAAAGAAGATAGTGTTTCTTGGAGCGTCTCCCAGATAAAAGCATATTTTGGTTTATCCGGGGGGTAAGGCTTATTTGCTTTATGAGAATTTCATAGTGTGATGCAATCCTCTAATTGCCTTATAAGCTACTCTGCCGATTATAATATGGTTGCAGCATGCTTGCTGTCTACCTTGACGAACCATATAATAGCTTTTTCCCCCCTTTTGGTACAAGCCATGTGATGGGTTTTTGAACGGCCATAGTTTAGCAGAGGATATTGTTGCTGTGCTAGCGTACCTATGCTCAACACTGTATATATAGCATGCCCAATACTGCAATATCTTGGATAATTTTCAGGTTGGCAATCTTCTTCTGTGTGATAATGTCACCATGATGAGTATCTGATTTGATTTTTAAGGCAAACTGCAGTGGATCTTGAGTATGGGTCTGCCTCGTAGTTAGTATGGATCTTTGAGCTTGAAAGCGTGAACGAAGTATTGGCTCATCGCATTAAGGGTTAGAACTGCATTTTAATCAAGAAAATAAGAGGGGCCTGCAAGGACTCAATACTCTGCCTCTTAACTCAAAAGATTAAGTTGTAAGGTGAAGGCCTAGGATTGGTTTTACTAATATCTCTGACATGCTAAAATTGATGAAAGATTGTCTGGGCGAAAATTTTTTGCTCTTATGTATATTTTTCGTTGTCTCTCCCACATTTTCCTAGGAAGACAATTTTTGAGGAAAAAATCATGGATGCATGTTTGTTTGTTTGGATAGTATGGCTGCTGATAGATATGCTCTGCTTGTGAATTAGGTTCACTGATCAGTTAGTGTTAGTTTATACATGATGAAGTGCACGTCTAGTAATCTTATTAATATTTGTTTACAGATACAACTTATTGGATTTAATTGATCACTTTCATCAACGTGGCTTGTATCGTTCCATTTTCTTAAGGTTTGTGCCCCAGAACTTTATGTTAGCTATACATGCCCAGTTCTCTTTTCCTGTTGTTTCCCCTCCACATTTTCTCAAAAAAAAAAAAAAAGAAGAAAAAAGAAAAGGCAGGTTTTTGTCTCCTTATATGACTGAGTTTCTTTGCAGCATAATGGAAGGTGAAGAATCATTGGAGAAATTTTCTCCTGAAGTCGAAGTTAGTGACCCACGCATTAAAGATGCCATTCCTCTGTTGCCCCCAATTATTCTGTTTCATGGAACTGGTGATTATTCCATACCAGCAGATTCCAGGTATATTGTCATGAAAATTTCCTGCTTCCAGAGCATCGATTATATCTCTACGACATTGAAGGAAATTGGGAAAGTATTTTTGTGATATTCTTACAATCTATTTCATTCGTGCTACAAATAAAACCTGTTGAGTTAATAATATCCTCCTATTAAATGACTTTCATGATATTTTAGTTTCGCTTTTCCTTTTTCCTTTCTGCTGTGTTACATATTTTTGGTCAGAATACCAAATATTATATTTTACTCTTATCTACGAAAACTTAATTATATACTCCTCTAGTCTTTAATATAGGACCTAATTGGGAGTTGATGTTGGTCTTATGTGTAAGACCTATTTTATATGTCTACCAACTTTTTCCCAAATTAACCCTAGTAATAAATATTCTCCAATAATAATCAAGTAGGAGAAGGGCGGGAGGAAATTGAGAAAGAGATGTTTAGGGTGTTTTAAACAAAAAACATATTGATTAACTAATTTAACTAACATTCTTAATCTACTCAAATATAATTATTAGGTTTTACGTTAAGGACAGCAGGAGTATTTTTCTCTACTCTAAAACTAGCAAGTATTTTAATCAGTGAGACAAGTGCCACATGGTTTTATATTTATCGCTTGTTGATGTTTATAAGCGTTTTTTGCAGTAAAAAGTTTGCTGATACTCTGAAGAACGTGGGTGCACGAACTCAGCTTATTCTATATGATGGAAAAACACA